AGAGGGAGGGTAGGAAGGACTCGATCGGGTAATTCTCGTCGCGCATATCGTCGCTCGGATCTGTCGTCGTCTGCGCGAGCAAGGGCCCCTCCGTCGAAAAGCGTGCCAAGGCAATCATGAGGGACTGTCATTCGGACGATTCGGCGCGCGACGATTTCGGCAAATCGCTCGGGCAGCGATAAGGCATTGAACAGCGATCGGATTATTGCGCTCGCACGTGATACTACGGCGATATCGTCGACGTGCGAACAGACAGGTGCGTCCGCGAGACGGACGTCCGCTCCGGTAGAATTACGTATACAATGTGACACGTGTGTAACGAACATAGAAAATAATGACAGCGCACGGTAAGGCGACGGATATATATATAAAACGCTCGAAATCTCTCTCTTTTCAAAAATGTCGCGAGAATAAAACGGTAGGCTGTGTCGTTTTCACGCGCGCACGCGCGATCGGCGAAATCGTCTTGCGATATATATACATATATATCTTTTCTTCTTTTCTTCTCTTTTTGAGCGAGCTCGCCGTGTCAATCGAACACATCAACTCAAATTCAAATTTGTCGTCTGCACCTTCGTCTCTCGCTTGATCCTCGGTGTATGTTTCTCTCTCTCATTTTTCTTTTTTTTTGTCTTTGTTCTTTGTTCACTCTTCTCGTCGATAAAACGATGTATGTACAAAACGCTGTCGCGTTCGCGCACATCGAGCGCCACGTTTCGGCCGAAAGAAAGAACTAGATTATTAAAATTACGTGTCGCCGGTACATGTGTTTATTATATACCAGGGTTGGGTCGCGGATTCCAAGATTCCACGCACACAAGACTGTTCATCAGGTGATCGTCTACGCGATGTATACACGCCTTTTTTTTTTGTAGACAATGTGAACTATGTAGAGAGTATTGCGAATTATATTAAAATATACGAAAAAGCTTAATTAAACTGTGCGACAGTTGCGATATCTATTTTAGGTACTAATTATTAAGCGTTATTACTAATTATTAATGTTTAGAAGAGCTAACAAGTGAAATTTTCGTTTCCTTATGCGGCGGATTGGTAGATTTAACTCTGAAACTGAGAATGTTGTCAGAAGATTTTATGAACTCCAATGGAAACAACATTCATAAATTTGTGTCAGGATTCTAAGCGTTAAATAAAAAAATTAACTCAATGAATTTTTGAGCAATTATACGTTTTTTAAACATCTATGCGCAGAACACATTAATATTGTGAAGTTTTTGGTTTTAATAAAACGAACCAACGCATTTTAGTTGGAGAATCTCTGGTCTTAAGTTTCGTTCTAAGAACCGGAAATTCTGTTGCCTTCAAAATACGTTGGTTGATTCACTGCAACCAAGCTTCATGATGATACGATGAAACTTTTGTCGTTGTGTGTGAATGTCGTTTGAAGAACAATGTATGACTCGCTCAAAAAACCCATTGAGAAGGGATTTTACATTTCGACTTAATCTTTATATATATAATAAAATTGTCGTGTAAATATAACGAAATTTCTGGTTTTCAGAAGCAAATCTGGGTATGACGAAAACTCAAAATTCTGTGCCTTTCAACCTTTAAACGCGTGGGTTCGCCTCATTACAGCCAAACTTTTCTTTCCGCATAGGTTACTCGTTGTTCGCGTGGATGACAGGTTCACGTTGTCTACATGTAGACGCAGACTGCGGCGATTTGCACGCCCAACCCTGGTGCATACGAACGAACGTCGAAGCGAAATCCTCTGTCCCGGCGTAGCCACCCTTCGAGATCGAGACGCGGCGATTGGGCCACAAGTCCCGCTCGTCCTTCCGGTTGACTCGTTCGCGCTTTCTCCCTCGACAAGAAGCGCGTTCGTATCTCGATTATTGTCACTAAATTTTGCCACGAGCGGGGATCGCTCGATCGGACGTCGCTCGATCTCGCGTTCGTCTGTACAATATAGATTCTCGTTATCTCGTAAAAAGCTACTTCATAAAAAGCACATTTCCTCGTCGGCTCCACTTTTGCTCTTTCGATCGCCATCGCCGTCGCCATCGCCGTTTCCTTGCGGCGATGGCAAATAAACATCTAAAAACTTAAAAAGAGAAGGGACGGGGAGTGGAAGAAGGGAGTGAGATAAGGGAGGAAATAAATGGTTGGATGAGGGAGAAAAGCGATGGAGGAGCAAGTGTAGAATGAGAAGGGAGAGAGGGAGAAGAGAAGAGGGCCAGTGCACGCGAACGGTTGACTTACGTTTTAAGCACGATCGTGAATGCTCGTGTGATATCACGCCATACGATTCGACGTGGACGATGCACGCACCCATCTGCAAGCCGGCGGTGGCTGCGCGCGACTCGATCGCCGGACAACACCCTGCATCGTCTCGCGACGATCGATCCCGCGTAACGATCTCGAGACGAGAGCTGCCGCTCTGTCCGCGTCCCGCTCGTGCCTCAGGATGACTCGATGACTTAAAGTATATATTTTACAAACAAAATGGGCATCCTGCACCGAAATCCGTTCGCCACGCGCAGCCTGCGCGAGTCTCGACGGGCCCGTCCACATCCATCACTTGTCCCCAAGCCGCCGACTTTCTCGGGCCAGCGGATAATGTTACGAAAGAGGAAGAGGATAGAGTCGCGTCGCGACGCCTCCCGCGCACTCCAGGTGCACTCCTCACGTGGCCGGATTGATTCGCTACGCGCTAGCAAAGAGTTGGACATGGATAGGTGGACAGGTAGATAGATAGATAAGTAGATAGACAGATAAATGATAGGCAGGTAAGGTAAATCGATAGGTAGGTAGACAGATGAACAGAGAGAAAGAGAGAGAAAGTGAAGGAGTGAAAAGAAACTATGAAAACGAAACACGTATATCATCTATCTTACGATTAAAACAACTAGAATCACTTGTGTACCATCACCACGTGGGATACGCTACAGTAATTAACGCATTCTCGGAGAACTAGGATATTTAACGCGGAAAAGCGTCGTTCTCCCAATCTTCGCTCGCCTCCGCTCCATGTCGACCTAGCCATAGCTCTGTTTTTTTTACTTTTCCTTACATATGGCAGTGCTCAGCGCGTCGTCGAGATTCGTCGTCTTCTCTCCGAGTAAGGAAGAAACAGAGAGATAGAGATAGACAGAGAGAGAGAGAAAGAGAGAGAGAAGGAGACAGTGTGTGAAAAAGAGAGTGTGTGTGGAGAGAGAGGGGAGGGAGAAAGAGAGAGAGAGAGAAAGAGAGAGAGAGTACCATCGCGAATTTTTCGCCCTAACGTCTCGTGATTGCCCGAGATTTCTCTTCGGAATACCACGGCACGAATACGCGCGAATCCGCGGAAGACTTTACTGGATCGCGTAAAAATCGACGTGTCTCGACGAGCGCTGAACGCGCGCTTCGCGTTCGTATACGCGTAACGAACGTATCTCTTTCCTCAACGCAGATACTCGTGTATGTTGTGTATGCATGCGTGTGTGTATATATATATATGTGTGTGTATATGTGTTCATACATATATATGTATGTGTTTCTTCCTTCTCTGCTTCGTACATATATATACATATACGAATATATATATTCGTGCGTATATATATTCATATATACACACGCGCGCGTATACGCGCGTGTATAGGTCTCTCTATGTGTGTATATAATCTAACTATACATATAACTATTTACAAGTGGAGGAGTTTTCTAGAGTGGGACAAGGAGCGAGGACTTAAGAAGATTTTTATTCGAGATAGAGAGAGAAAGAAAGGGAAAGAGAGAGAGAGAGAGAAAGATAGATAGATAGTGAGAGAAAGAGAGAGAGAGAGAGAGAGAGTGAGTGCGTGAGTGAGTGAGTGATTGAGAGGATGTGTGTATGTGTGCGTTTGCTGAGAGTGAGGCAGATACGTGGAGAGAGAAGGGATTTCTAGAGATTTCTGAGGAAGTCGGCTTCAGGGCGGCGGCAGTCGGGTCGGGAGTGGCTGGTATTTCGTCGACATGCTCTCCTTCCTCTTCGCTTCCTCCGCAGAGGCGAAGCAACTATGCGCTGCGACTATAAGCGAGGGGGTGGCTGGTGTGATGCGCCCTCGTGTCCGCGTCTCTCTCTCTCTCTCTCTCTCTCTCTCTCTCTCTCTCTGTGTGTCGCTCAAGCAGGTAGAGATGGTCAACAGTGGGGTGTTAGACGTCCGTGTACTTGCTCAGCTTGTCGCGCAGCAGCATGTTCTCGTTTTTTAACCGCTCTAACTCCTGCCGCAAACCCATGTTCTGCAAATGAAATAGCAAATGAAGATTACTCGGTCGCGCGGGCAATTTTTCACGTCTCTCTGAACAGCTGAAGACACGAAGTCGTACGACAATCTTCAGTAAAGATTACGCACTCAATGGTCTCTTTGGTTTCTTTGCAGCGCAAAGTTTACGTTTAGCTTAAGGCTCCTGGTCCCTCGCCGCGGAACTTTTGATTGATGACGTCATATGGGAAGAAAAGATCTGGTTGGATTAACTAAATATATTTGATGAAACAAAGCAGGAATTCCAGTTGAAGTTACCGGAATTCGAACCAGAATTAACCAGAAATCTTGTTCGATTAAGCAGAATCTTGCTAACTCGAATAGAATTCTGGTAACTTCAACCGGAATTTCCAGTTCGTTTTCTTCAGACATTTGGTTAATCTAACCAGACTTTTCCGTACAGAAGCGAGAGAACACGTGTCATTTTTGAATAAAAAGATGTTTGTGTAAAAAAATACTTCAAGTTGCCGATACATACTAATAAAATGCTTCGGCAACTATCCTATTCCCTTGACAGTCAATAAATAGATGCAAAATTTACGTGACACACGACCTCCTTCTTTTCTCACAATTTTTCCACGGCTATTACTTTTACGGCTATCCAATTACTGTCAAAGAAAAAGAATAATTTCAGAGCATTTTATAAATACGTTCAAGCGATCTAAAGTGTCCTTTCATTCAAATATCTTTTCATTTGAAAGTAGTGCGTAGGAATTTTCAGTATCTCGTCTCTGACGTCATGATTCGAGAGATCGCAGCGAGGAGGCTTAAAATCATAGTTTTGACGACAGAAGTAAAATCTTACTTTCACCTAATCACTTGGAATATCTGCAATTTCGACAATAATCCAAAATCGAAAAGAAAATCAGTAAAAGTACGATATGAATCTTTCAATATCTTCATCAAATCGTCAGTCTTGTGCTTTTAAACGCGCCTCCGTTAATCTTATCGAGCCAAGTTAACTGCATTAGATGCAACTGGCGTGCCGGTTTCGAATTGCCAGCCGTGGGAAAACTCACCTCTTTCTCGAGGAAGCCGGCCCTGAGTGCTATCTGGTTCTCCTTCATGCGACGCGCGTCTCGCGATCGTTTCGCTGCCATGTTGTTCTTCCTACGACGCGCCCAGTATTTGTCATCCTTCAAGTCATCCGGAACGAACTGCGGCCGCAAACGGAAGAGAGAGAGAGAGAAAGAGAGAGAGACGGAGGGGGAGAGAGAAAGAGGAAAAGAAAGGACACAAGAACATTAGAACGTCCGTATCTAATTGCACCGCGAGAAATACCGCGTTCCGCGCGAATTTCATTTGTCTCGGCGTGCGGCCGATCGGAAATTGAAAGCGCGGGACAGCGGGTAAACGTGCATTAAATAAAATGTGGGGATAGGGGCTCACCTGCTTCCGTGATTTCTTGATCATCGGCTGTGGTTTGAGCTCCTCGTCGGAGAAGGCCCGAGTACGTGGATCGAAATCTCGCCCCGATGAGGCCATCGAGAGCGCTATAAGAGACAAGCCATATTGTATTCGTGACGAGTCCTCGGAATCTGTCGCGCGGAAGGGGCACAATTGACAATGTCGACGTTAGTCTAGTTTGCTGTGATATTCTCGACAAGCCTGACGTTATCGCAATACAGATTCTGAGATAGCGTGTTTTTCTTGCCCCTCTCTCTTTTACATACACACAACACACACACACACACACTCACTCACTTACTCATTCATTCACTCATTTTCTCTACAGTTCACTCAATTAAAAAAATTAACAAGTATACATATGTATCAGATCATATGTGGCTAAATTAAATGACATTAGAAGCGCGTAGATATTTGTCATAGGAATAAGAATAGCGTGAAACACTTCTCAGGATCGACATCGCGAACAACCCGGCTACGACGAGAAATAAAAGTTCAATAGTGCAAAATAAAAAAAAACATTGGCTCTCTACTCACTGGAGTCCGCGGGTGAGGGTGGATTCAGGGGATCTGGCGAGCAGCATTCGCTCGGCGAGGGTGACCTTTCACGCTTGGTGATCGGTTCCAAGTGGAGACCCGCTGACCCTTGGTGTCCGGGAGCCTCGGTGTTGTTGATTTTATGCAGCTGGCTACCCTGCATGGCACCCTGTCCGCCGCCAGCCACACCATCAACGGGGATGCCGTTTTCGGAAAGAAACTCATCGAGATCCACGTACTACCAACAGAGGTCCGAGATGTCATTTTCGTGGCTTCTCGGAGCCTTGTCAAGTTCAAGCAAGCCCTATCTTACGCTCCTAGGCAGATTAGACGGGTGTCACACACACGCACACGCGAATTACACGGGAAAAGTCTCAGTTCGTGCAACAGAAGGGGAATCAGACGAAGACTCGGCGAAGAGAAACGATGTCTCTGTTACCGCGACCGAAAATATTCGTCTCAACATTCGACTAAGTTCCAACTATCTAGTTGGACAATGAAACGTGTTCCATGAGAATTTTATAAAGCACTACATTGAAATATTACACTACATTGAAATGTTATCTGACTGCTCGTACAAGTAGAAAAAGATTGATCATTCGAGAATTGAGATGTTTGCAATTAAAGTTGACACTTTTTACACGTGTTCCTTTTAATTGTAATTTTGTCGATAAATAGTAAATTTATGCGGTTCTCTTTGATGAGCCACTATAAGTGCGACACTTGACAACGCGGCTATCTTAAAACTCGCGTGAAATAACTGAGAACAATCGACTGAACAGAAATTCTCCCTACAAGAATTTTTCTAATCCTACAATCGAGTTTCCATCTGTCCCCAGAGAACTAAAAATCAACTACACAAACCGAGTTTTCTCTTTTGTTTCTTGCAAGAAGATCTTGCAAATAGGTCGATAACCGTCGTGCTGCATTTAACGACGTTTGATGCATTAACTTCACATTGAGTCGTTAGTCTTTTGTGTTCGTTTTATTTGATTGAAAGTGAGAAGTCGGATAAATAACATCTCGCCTAGAGCCTAGATGCTCCGCAAAGATAGGTCCTGTAGCTGCCGTAAATGTGGCATTGATGCGGGAAACCCGTCTATACTCTGTACGCCGTAGCCCATGCTCTTTGTTTCGAAAGTCCATGTAAGAACTCGCGAGAAAAACTTGCTGACTTGCTGACGCGCTTTCGCGGCAAACACCTTTGCATTCCACACTCCGTTTCGTTTTGCACTTTGTAACTTCAGCGTGCACCTTTATCGAAATTCAAGCACCGTGTCGCGACGGAAAGGACGGTGAAAGTTCGTGGCGACGGTGAAAGATTCGCAAGGGAGTCAATTCCTGCCCGAAAATCTGGTAGAAACCCGGGCGTATGAGCGAGCGATCGACTGCTTAAACTAAAATAGCAAATTGCGCAATATTGTCTGCGACGTCGCGAGATAACGCTAAATTTCACGTTAGAAGAAAGAGTCATCTAGAAGAAGAAGAGAAAAAAAGAACGCCCCGTTCCTCGGCAGGTTAGGCCGGATAGTTTTGCTAAAAATAATAACGCGAATGGAGGAAAGAATAGCCGAAACTTCCTCGATTCCGCCGAGGCAGAACGGAGAAAGCGGCCGCTATCGTCGCGATTGCATAGCGGCTTAATATTCGGCTTCCCGGTTTCTCGATCCAGGAAGGCGAATTATAACGGAGCAAGTGTTACAACGGGAGGGGGGGGGAGGGGCGAATGCAATGGTCCGCTGCATTGGTTTTCCATTCTATTACATAGCGTATGTGCACACATACACGCGGCAACTTCCGGGGTATACGCGAGCTTTATCGTGCGCATTTCCGAACGTTGACGTAGGAAAACCGAACTTTCGACTTGCGTTATCGCGATACGAATAGCGCGAACGCGCAAAAGAAAAGTCCGAGAGAAAGAGAAAGAAAAAGAACACGGCGTAGACTCACAGAGCATAGACGGTATCCCTGAGCAAGTAGTTAGTGGATCGAGTCAAGACACACAAACGAGACAAGACGATTAGCTTAGTCTTGATTTTAACTTGTATTGAATTTTGGAACTAGGTTCAGCCATATTGAGGGCTTACCGTGTCGCGCCTTTATACATACATGATTCAATACCTTCAGGTCGGCATCGTAGGGCAGAGTTTTGTCCCACAAATTGGGCCCGAGGAAGGCGGCCTGCGCTTCCACGTTGCCCCAGAGTTCACCGTCAGCGTCCTTCTTCTCCTCTGGTCCATCTTTTCCTTGTTTCCCTGAAAATGCAATCTCGTTAGCTTGTCATGTCGCGATGCTATGTCGTCTGCCTTGATCTCAATCATTCCTTTGCAAAACGTAGCGCGAATTCGAATCAATCGCTGCAATAATCGCGAAGCGTGTGCACTCAGGAAAAAGACATGGCAATAGTAATTATATAGGTGACAATTGCACTAGTTTTGTATGTAGAAGTACTTTTTTTAATGATGATTTGAAATGATTGCGCGATTCTCCCCAAGTAGGCTTTTTTAATGAGCGTATCTAGATTTTCTTTCTCTCTGTTGCTATTTTCTTTGGAGTTTTGAAAAATAAAACGAAATATTTAATTTGTATTTGCTATGAATTAAAAAAATACAAATTGTTTAGGCAAATCAAAGAAGGAACAATTAATATAACAATATTTTATCATGAAAATTTTCCAGGCATGGTTAATATGTATCGTTTATATCTTAACTTGTGTAGCTATCATTCATGTGTGTAGTTGCCACCACTGTGTCTTTTTCTCTGAGTGTGATACTTGAAAAATGAAATGTTACAACATGGAAAATCGTTGGAAATTTCGAGCTTCAGCACTATCGCTGCTGAGAACGCATATATTTTCTGACGATATCGGCCATCTCGCACACGTGGCCGCACATCGAATGACGGCCAACCTGTACGTTATACATCCTGTGGCTTTTGTGTAATGCGCTTTTCTTTCGACACTTCCGGCACATGGTATAACGCGTTCTTTGCGAAATTCGGAACGCAGACTGCGACGTACAACGATGATTTTAATTATTCCACGGCTCTCGCCACTTTCTCCACGCTCTTGGTATTCTTCCCAGAAAGATTAACAATGTAGCTAACGCAAGTAACGCCATTCTACGTAAATATGTAAGAAAAATCTAATGAGTATTTCCTCATAGGCGTGTTGTGTGTATCACATCTTATTTTCATACTAATTCATATGATTTCTACATTAGGCCCGTATTAATTATCGTCGTTACTCGAAACTGTTACACGCGAGATACTCAGATCTGAATTTAGAGTTAGATTTGAAGTTTCTATTTTGAATTATATAATACATGTGATATATGGCATTTGTAATCGCGGTTCCGCTGAAAATTTCATGTCTAAACTCAAAATTAAGATCTGAGTATCTCATCCTCCTGAGGCAAATTTCAAAGTAATGACTTTTAATACAAGCCATAGATAATCATAACGCGCCGACTTAATGGTCGCGCCAATTTTTCACGACTGAAAATTCTCACACGTCGACGAAACGGAGGAAAAGAGTATAAAGATAGTCGACAACCTTGAAGATGCTCATCCAAAAATAGTGAGCTAGCCAGGGTCATCATCGTCTATCCCACCCCTCCTCTCATCCTCCTCCTCTCTTTCTCTC